AGATTTAAGCATTGCTACTGGTGAAAAAGTTCCCTCATAGTCAACACCTTGTTTTTGAGTATAACCTTTAGCAACCAGTCTTGCTTTAAAAGTATTAACTTCTCCATCTACACCATGTTTTCGTTTGTAAACCCATTTACAACCTATGGGTACTATACCCTGTGGTGGATCAACCAAAGTCCATACTTTGTTTGAATACATAGAGTCTATCTCGGATTGCATAGCTTCTTGCCATTTATCTGAGTCAATGTCCGACATTGCCTCATCATAGCTTATTGGATCATTATCCAAAAGGAGTCCCTCTTCATTGTTCTCTAATAATAGGTATAACTTCTCAGGCGCCCTAGAAATCCTTTCAGATCTCCGAAGAGATTGTGTTACAGATGGTCCAGTCTCTGTTGGTATGTTGTTTGTGGCATTTTGTGGAATTTCCTGTGGTTCTTCATTAAGTTCTATGACTCCGCTATTCTTTGAGAGAAACTCTTCCTCTAAGAAAACAACATTCCTCGAAACAAACACCTTTTGTTCAATGGGGTCATAGAAATAGTATCCAATAAACTCTTTTGGATACCCCACAAATTTACATAAGATGGATCTCATATCCAACTTACCTCCCACTAACTGCTTCACATAAGCATTACAACCCCATACTTTCATATACTTGTACGAGGGTGTTTTGCCACACCATATCTCATAAGGTGTGCTGGGTACAGTTTTACTCGGCACTCTATTCAAAATATGTGCTGTTGTTTCTAAGGCATAGCCCCAGAATGAAAGAGGTAAACTAGTGGAACTCATCATTGATCGAACCATGTCCAACAATGCTCGATTCCTTCTTTCTGAAACCCCATTCAGTTGTGGAGTTCCAGGAGGTGTCCACTGTGAAATAATCTCATTATCTCTTAAATAATCAAGAAACTCATTGGTCAAATATTCACCTCCTCGATCAGATCGAAGAACTTTTATACTACGACCAATTTGTTTCTCTACTTCATTTCTGAATTCTTTGAACTTTTCAAATACTTCAGATTTGTACCTTAATAGGTATACATAACCATACCGTGAATAATCATCAGTAAAAGTTATGAAATAGTAGTAGTTCTTCTTGGCACTAACATTTAGTGGTCGACAAACATCTGTATGGATCAAATCCAACAGACCTTTAGCTCGCTCCACTTGTCCAACAAATGGTGATTTTGTCATTTTACCTTTAAGACATGACTCACAAGTAGGCAACCTTTCCTCTCCCCTAAGGTCGAGTTTTGGTCCCAATTTGTGAATCCTCTTTTCAGATATATGA